GCACGAACAAATTGAGACCAATCAAGATGGAGAATTGGTAAAACTGAGCGATATAGAAAATATATATAAAAAACGCAAGCATGACAAGGCTGCTCGACAGAAATCTGTGAAAGTATGTATAAAATATATTTTAACACTCTNCTTTCTTTCTCTACACTACATAATAGAGTAGATTAATTTAAATATTATTAAATTTGTAGAAAGGACAAGAGCAAAGAGATAAATTTGGTTTTAAAGATCGGCGACAAAATGCAATGTGCAGTAAAACGAATCGCGAAAAGAAGAAAGGAAAAGCATTTCTAATGGTGAAACAGAAATTAAAAGGGAAAGTAAAACGATCCTTTAGAGATAAACAGATAGCTCTAAAAAATTATCTGCTGAAGCAAAGAAAAATGAAATAATCAACATATTGTCTAGATTTTTTTGTCTTCTATGTATGGTTTTCTCAATGATAATATTGTATAAATATATAGAAAAACATGCTTTTATATATATATTTTAAAACTAAAAACTATACTTGTATGTGCAACAGGAATGTGCTACTTACATTTTTCTCTTATTAGTTTTATTATAAAAAAAAATAAGAAAAAAAATATATTTGTCAAAACGTTTTATTCGTTTGTGAATACATAAAGGATATTTGCATAAATTTGTTACTTTTGTGTGTGTGTTTATGTGAGTAGTATAAACTTGTGAAATTATAGCAATAGCAATTTCCGATATCAAATAAAAAGATCAAATTTAAATGAAATAAAAAATATAAAGAATATATGTTATAATTAGAAAAACATATAATAATAAAAAAAAAATTCATAGAAATTATTTCTGATAATTTCAGAAGAATTTTAAATTGAGTTTAACATAATAAAATTTCATACACAAGTCTTCATCTTTATTCAAGTGTTGTTTGTCAAATCTAGAATCTGCTACTTGCACAATTAACTAATAAATTACTGAAACGAAATATATTCACAATCATAATTCTAACCTCTTGTTTTATATTCGTGACGTGACTGGACATTGATGCGCGCTATTTTTTTGGTCCAATTCGTTGCCAATCACATTTGGAAACAAAACAGTGTGACCAATAACAGTCGCCGCCGTACTTGACCGTAAAAGGAAATAAGAAAGGAAGCTCTTATTATTATCATTATTATTATTCGTCGTTGTACGCTGTTGCTGCACGCGGCTTTTGGCTTCTTCCCGGTCTCTCCCGTCTCTCCGTTGTCGTTATTACGAGTAACGCGAATTTGAGTATTGTAAAATCGTCTCGTATACTTGTTTGAAGTAAATCAGCGATTTCTGTGCAATGTCAACGGTAGCGAGTCCTTTAGCCATTGGAGGCATCCGACAGTCGGGGGCGCCGGTGCGAACACAAAATGGTAAGGATGCTGAAAATCCATGGAGTTTGGTTATATCACGTCTCAAAACTTCGAAATAGATTTCATGTATCACTTTTGGCAATTGCTGGATTTTACTGAAAAATCTATGAATTTGCGTAGAATTGAAATTGCGAATATTACAAGCCACATATTAATCACTATTATGTTTTATATACATATAATGTAAGATCGTACACGGAATGCTTGATACTTGATAATCTGCGGAATAAATGACTGCTTAACGCAAAATATAAAATAAATATTTAATATTACATATATTTATTGATTTTCTATCAAAATTAGTCATATTTGTTAAACTATGTTCGATTGTATATATGTAGCAAATTTTGCTAGTTGATTTAAAAATACTATTCTTTAAAAGTGTAAATCAATTTAGGATTCAAGATAAAGATTGTACTAAAATATATACCTTGTATACAAATATTGTACATATACTTTGATAATAATTAATCTTATTTGAAGAGTACACAGTAGATATATTATTTTAATATATAATTTTTGAAATATATGCAATTATACTCTGTTATATTTAACAATTTATATATAATATAAATGTGTAAAATAAATGCATTATTTATATTCTTTCAGTTATGGCTGCCTCTGCTATTGCTAATATAGTTAAAAGTTCATTAGGTCCAGTTGGTTTGGATAAAATGCTAGTTGATGATATTGGCGTATGTGTTTTATTCAGCTTTTCTCTATTTTTGTAGTATATCAAATAAATATTTATAAAAAACAAAATATGATGTATGTGTCATAATCCAAGTTATATAACATTTTCAGGATGTCACTGTTACCAATGATGGTGCAACTATCTTACGTTTGTTAGAAGTCGAGCACCCAGCTGCGCGAGTATTAGTTGAATTGGCTCAATTACAAGACGAGGAGGTTGGGGATGGTACTACTTCAGTTGTAAGGAATACATTTATATTTACATATTCAATAAAATCTAAAATAAAAATAGATTATTTTAATGAAATAATTATATTTTTTATTAATTAGGTAATAATAGCAGCTGAGCTTTTAAAAAATGCGGACGAGCTTGTGAAGCAAAAGATTCACCCAACCTCTGTCATTAGTGGTTACAGGCTTGCCTGCAAGTAAGAATTTAATGATCCATTTTATTCAAAAAATTATTCTATTTTCAATATCAAATAACTTTTTAAAGTAATTAAATTGAGTAATTTGAATAAATTAACAAAGAAATATGTATCACATATTAATCAAAAAGAGAGAAAGAAAGATAAATTTTAGCTAATATAATTTCTGTATGAAATTAATTTCAGAGAAGCATGCAAATACATTCAGGAACATTTAACTGTTAGTGTGGATGAACTCGGAAAGGATTGCTTAATTAATATTGCAAAAACATCGATGTCCAGCAAAATTATTGGAGCGTATCCTTTTAATGTTATTCAATATTTCTTTTTGGCGCACACAATCTGTTCTTAATATTTGGTATATACAACAATCGTTTAAAATATTTTCCATGATTATGGTTATAATTAGTGATGCCAATTTCTTCGGTAACATGGTAGTCGACGCCATTAATGCGATAAAAATCAGCGATGGCAAGGGAGGCTCTCTGTATCCTGTTAAAGCAGTCAATGTTCTGAAGGCTCATGGAAAAAGTGTTCGGGAATCGGTTTTGGTTCAAGGATATGCTTTAAATTGCACTGTCGCTTCTCAAGCAATGCCGAAGAAGATAACAAACGCAAAGATCGCATGCCTAGACTTCTCATTGCAGAAGGCAAAGATGAAGTTGGGCGTTGAAGTACTTATTACAGATCCCGAGAAACTCGAAGCCGTTCGTCAACGTGAAGCTGATATCACCAAGGAACGTATTCAAAAGATTCTTGCTGCTGGAACTAATGTCGTTCTTTTGTCTGGTGGGATTGACGATTTATGCTTAAAGGTACAGTCACACATTTAAGATAGTGGTTTTTCTAGTAATATAAGCATAATATATTTATCTTGATTCTCTTTGTTCACAGTATTTTGTGGAAGCTAAGGCTATGGCAGTGCGTAGATGTAAGAAAGCTGATATGAAAAGAATTGCTAAAGCTACAGGTGCACATTTTCTGACTTCATTGACCAATATGGAAGGAGAGGAGAGTTTTGATGCCAGTTTCTTAGGAGAGGCTGCTGAAGTAGTGCAAGAAATGATATGCGACGACGAGCTTATTCTTATCAAAGGGTATGTCTTGTAACTCTAATTAAAACATATTAATAACTAAATTGATTCTGTGAAACACATTCTAGTATTAAGAACACACAATTTCTGTCATATACATATATATCTGGTGGAATATAAATATTTTCTATGACAAGAGCTCTCTTTGTATCACGCAATTATCATCGTGAAAAAAAACAGAAAAAACAATCATTAATCTTCTCTTTTAACTTTCAGTCCCAAGGCACGTACAGCAAGTTCTATTATTTTACGTGGACCAAATGATTACTATTGCGACGAAATGGAACGTTCTATACATGATGCATTATGTGTCGTTAAGAGAGTTTTAGAAAGCAAAAGCGTCGTCGCGGGAGGAGGTTGTGTGGAGGCTGCGCTGTCCATATATCTAGAAAATTTTGCAACATCATTGGTATTATTGGATTATCTACATATTTTCTATCAGTATCTCTTTCTTGCATTAAGATATTTACAATCCTTTTAAATTACAGAGTTCTCGAGAACAATTGGCTATAGCGGAATTTGCACGATCTTTATTAATTATACCAAAAACATTAGCCGTAAACGCAGCACAAGATGCAACTGATCTTGTTGCCAAACTCCGAGCCTATCATAATTCCAGTATAACAAAACCGGATCTTGTCGATCTGAAATGGTAACAACTTCATGATTTTTCTAATTTTTATAATTGCCATGTAATTAAAATGAATTATTCACACACATCTGTTCTTGCAGGGTGGGTCTTGATTTACTTGTAGGAAGTATAAGAGATAACAAAAAAGCCGGCGTGTTAGAACCAGCAATTTCAAAAATAAAATCTTTGAAATTCGCCACTGAAGCAGCTATAACCATTCTTCGAATCGATGATATGATTAAACTAGATCCTGAGCGTTCGAAAACGAAATCTTATCAAGATGCTATGGAAGCCGGCGAATTGGAAGATTAATATTAAAGTGCATTTATCTGTTACATTAAATATGATGCGTTTATACAAAAATAAAAAACATAAAAGATTGTAAGTCTTTTCACTGCACATATGAATGTCACGCAATATAATAAAAGAATACAAATTGTAATTTAACACGTTCGCTATTATATGATGCATTGTCATACGTCTATGGTAGCAAACACGTTATTGAAACAAATATTTACGCTTTACTGTTCATATACATATATTGCACATATATCAACTTTTGTATGTGCATAAGAAGCCGCTATTTAAAAATGAAAAATAAAGCTTTTTCATACTATGATACTGTACTTAATTGATTGCATTAACACAGAATAAAGATATCCAAACAAAACTTTAATTTTGTAATTATTGAAATCTCATTATTAAAAATTAAGAGATTATTAATCTTCAGTCCCTTAATTTGTATGAATAAATTTATATGTTTACAGAATTGTAGTTAATATATAATAATCATGGTTCATATATATTTATAATACATCAATAATATATTTTATTTCTATGCTAATTATATCAATGTGCCATCCAAAGATGCTTGTTTATTACAATGAAATAATATGATCACATGCAATAATAAAAAAGAATGAATATTGTATAATTGAATATTAAAGTAAGCATATTTTAGAGGCTTAAAGATGTCACTTGTAGCATATATAAAAGATAGAAATGATGATATATAAAAGAATATTTTAGTATAACTTAATATAAATTATTACATATATACGTAATATATATAGTATAACAGTTCATTAATGGAAAATAATGGAATAACAGTTTTAAGTATTATGTGATATGTATGTTTATAAAGTTCGATATTACTTATAAACAATACTATACATAAATAATATTACTTTTTTAAAATAATTTTTTTGATGAGCAGATGTTATCTATAATATATTTGCTACATTATGGCAGTTAACTGATGACATTAAATTATTTTTTATGATTATATTTTAACAATGCATTTTATCTTGATTTTAGCATGTTTATTTATAATATAAATTTGCGACTTTATTGCAAAATTTTAATGATAAAACAATTTATTTGTTAAAATATGTTTGTTTTTTGTAACATTCCTCATAAGATAGATATATAAATGCAACGATAAATCATTAAAGCATTAAACAATCATTAATTTTCTTTGATACTATAGTACTCTCAGTACTTTCTTTCAGAAAACAGCATCACAATTAAATTGTGTTGTTTATCTATTTAATATAATCATTTTTATTTACTTTTTAAGTAGATATTGCGAAATGAAATATTTTACACGTGCTTTTCACGAAATAGATATACCAATTATAAATGAGATATTATAAAAAAAAAAATTATAAACTTCCATGTTTTTTTTATGTCTACTTTTTTGTATACTCAAATATTTTTGCAGAAATATAGAGAATATTTTTTTCCTAACAATATAAATATAATACATAAAATTATTATTCACCAATAGTTAAATCATGTCTTCCATTAATAACTGCTTACATTACAAATAAGTGTGTGTGTATATATATATATATATATATATATAAGCACTATAAATAAATTCTCTTGAGAATTAATGTTCTTGGAATTTGTAATTAACAAACTAGAAATATTTCACACTGCATTAATATCCTATTATATTAAATATTTATCATTAAAATTAATAATTATATCAAAATTTAGTAAGCTATGTCAATAGTGTATCTGTGATATTGGACCTTCTTGTAATGTAGACTCACTAATAATGGTACATATATATGTTGTAAAATATTCTTTAATTATTTACTAATTTTATTTAACCCTGTTTAGATTAATGAATGATACAAAACACTACTGATTTTTGAAAGAACAAAAAAATTTGGCAAGGTTAATAAGAATCCATCTAAATAAAAAAAAAAAAGAGAAAAAAAGAAAAAGATAAAAAGAAATGCAATGTGATTAATATGATCATATAGCAATGGGCATTCAATATACAATTTTGTAAGATAGGGGTTCTAGAAAAAGATAGTGAAATATTTTCTCATTTTTTATAAATTATTCTATGTTTAAAACACAATAAATTCTTTCAATATTTTAAAATTTATTTATGAAAAATGTGAATGTTATTTTTTGATATTTTTTGTGCGACGAGATATCAACATCTTTTTTTCTCTTGCTGATATTCATATAATTGAGAACAAATACCTTTACAACGCGGGATTTTCGAATTTTGGTCCTTTTGTGACTATAATCTCAGCATATGAATATTCTTGATTGAGTTCTAATACTTTTACACGTGCTTTTCACGAAATAGATATACCAATTATAAATGAGATATTATAAAAAAAAAATTATAAACTTCCATGTTTTTTTTATGTCTATTTTTTTGTATACTCAAATATTTTTGCAGAAATATAGTGAATATTTTTTTCCTAACAATATAAATATAATACATAAAATTATTATTCACCAATAGTTAAATCATGTCTTCCATTAATAACTGCTTACATTACAAATAAGTGTGTGTGTATATATATATATATATCACTGCATTAATATCCTATTATATTAAATATTTATCATTAAAATTAATAATTATATCAAAATTTAGTAAGCTATGTCAATAGTGTATCTGTGATATTGGACCTTCTTGTAATGTAGACTCACTAATAATGGTACATATATATGTTGTAAAATATTCTTTAATTATTTACTAATTTTATTTAACCCTGTTTAGATTAATGAATGATACAAAACACTACTGATTTTTGAAAGAACAAAAAAATTTAGCAAGGTTAATAAGAATCCATCTAAATAAAAAAAAAAAAAAGAGAAAAAAAGAAAAAGATAAAAAGAAATGCAATGTGATTAATATGATCATATAGCAATGGGCATTCAATATACAATTTTGTAAGATAGGGGATCTAGAAAAAGATAGTGAAATATTTTCTCATTTTTTATAAATTATTCTATGTTTAAAACACAATAAATTCTTTCAATATTTTAAAATTTATTTATGAAAAAGTGAATGTTATTTTTTGATATTTTTTTGTGCGACGAGATATCAACATCTTTTTTTCTCTTGCTGATATTCATATAATTGAGAACAAATACCTTTACAACGCGGGATTTTCGAATTTTGGTCCTTTTGTGACTATAATCTCAGCATATGAATATTCTTGATTGAGTTCTAATACTTGGAACTTTTTCAGAACTAATAGTGTATAAAACTTCTGTGCAACCTACAAAAATAGAGTTATCATTTTACCAATATTCGCATAGAGAGGTTAACATATTGAATCGTTTTTTTAAAGCACCAACCTGTTTGCGATTATTTTTGAATGCCATATCCGATAGTGTTAGTTTATCTTTGGTATCTAGTTTGCTCTTAATAACATGATACATATGCGCTGCTCTTTTGTTAAGAACGCGCTCTTCAAACTGTTCATAAGTTTCATCCATTTGTTGTTCCTCTTGCTGAAAAATATAGCATCTCGTAAATAATTAACATTTGTTTTCGTAAATATTTTTCTGTAATACTGTAATAATGTATAATCTAAAAATGAAATAATGCATAAGCTAAAAATAGTATTTGCAATATAAAAAAAATTACAGGTCCCACAGATGGCGGAAACTCGTAATCTTCATGATTCCATGGTGTGGCGGGCCCTCTTTCTGAAATTGCACCAGGTGTATGTGCTGGAAGATGATGTTCATCATAGCCCATGTACGAAACTTGCGGTTGTGCCTATTATATAGTATAAATAAGACTTTTTGTTTTAATATAATTGTGAAAAGTAGTGTATATAGAAAATATTCGAAAATGCGATGCAATACAAAACAACAATCTAAAGAAAACTAAACATATTTAACGCTTGCATATTCTCAACACATTTCAGTCACATGACGAGTGTGTCAACTTACTTGATCATAACCCATATTTTCCATCTGCGGCATATCGGATGTTTGTATGGCGGCAACGGCTTCCTCTTGTGGTGGTACTTGCGTTTCTTCGTGTGTGTCGAGTACTGAGTTGACTTCAGCTGGTGCAATTTGTGGTATTTCAGAACTGAGCAATGATGTTTCAGTAGTCGGTGGTGCTACCACCGATGGTTCCCTAGAAGGCACAATGCTACTTATGTCGGAAACCGATGGTTCAGGTAAAGGTACTTCGGACGATATAGATGATTCCGTAGGAAGATCATGTTGCGCGATTATGCTCGGAATTTCTACTGCCTCAACAGCGTTCGCCGACGGTTGGCTAACATCCGCTGGCGTTGGTTGAGGTGGTTGAGGAGGTTGTTTTATCTAAACATTAATAAGTTATACATTAATATTAACTGTTATGTAAAAATTCTTTGTCAGATTTATAGTTTCTCTCTAAAAAAAATATTATATATAAACGCAATATCTCGGCCTGCAAGCTATCTTAACGACCTTCGCGTGCAACATGGACTTTCTCTCTCTCACACACATGCACACAAAAAAAATATTATATATACATATATATATATATATATATATATTTAAACTACTAACTTCATCATCCTGTGGCGCTTTGCGTTTTCGTGCTGTACGCTTATTGAGAATACTTTGCTCATAAGATGGCTCTACTTCTGGAGCATCTCTCATTTGCTCTAGAGACATACCATCTTCCTCAGCTCCAAGTCGTCCAAAATCTTCATGATCATAAGACTTGCTGGTTAGATGTCTTTGATAATTCTGTTTTAATATAACATTAAAATGAAATTTTATTATGGAATATTCAAACAATTGTAAAATCGTATTACCTTGAAAATTGATGTAAAATCGTATTACCTTAAACAAAACACGAGCTGGAATAGAACTTCCTGGTAGAGCAAAAAGCTTCTCTACGCCGCCTGTTTCCTTCCAATGCATCAATCTTTTTGTAGGTGGTGCCAAGTCCAATGTTGTGATAATATCACTAGTATCAGATAGCTGTGCCTTCATCTCTTCACCAGAGATATTTTTTACTTCATCAACAATGAGTTTACGTTTGCGCTTAGTTTTTGTGAAACCTTTAAGAAAATAAATGTTTTTTCGTTAGATACAATAAATGTGCATCAATGTTAATATAAAAATAATTAACCTTTTAGAATGGATGCATCGATTGGAGGTAACGCAAAGCTTTCTTCGTCGTCGTGTAACAATGTGGTTTGTTCTTGTAAAGGTGGTGGTTCTTCTACATTATCAATGGCATGTTCCTCTGGTATAACTGGTGGAGCTGGTGTAAAGCGTCGACTGGCGACGCTTATTCTTCCGTCCATTTCTTCTCCAGCTGCTGCTGGTGTAGCCGGTCTGGAGCCGTCAGTGCTACGTATAACGCATTTTTTCAGTAATATCAAACTATTACAATATCAAAGTTTTATATAGCAAAATATACCAAGCTAAAACAATAAATACCTCATGCCTCCCATTGGAGACCCTGGACCACCAAAATGATCGCCCATATCTTCATCAGATTCATCGTGCACAGATGCAGCAGTTCCAGGAGCTGTACCTGCTTCCTGTTGCTCAGTTATCGAACTAACCTCAGGTACAGGTACCTCACCCATTGGAGCTTCGTCAAATAAACCACCTTCAAAAAGGCCTCCCGCTAAAAAGAAATGTTATAATTATTATAAATTATTTTTGAGTCGTGTTACAAGGATAAATTGTTTTTATCATACATATGATATCTTGGCCAAGATGACCACCAAAACCATCGTCTCTGATAGGTGTATCTATGTCCATAGGTTGCGTCGTAGCAGATGTTCCTGCAACTGGTTCTTTTTCTTTTTGTTCCAATGCTGTTTCTATTCCTGGACCGTCGCTAAACAACATGTGACTCTAAAATTACATTAAAACAATTAATATTTTAAAATTACATTGTTTTAAAAATCTAATAAAGATTTATTATATATATTCTTTGATTATTTAATATAAATTGAGACTAACTTTTGAGAGAATTTAAAAAATATATATAAATATTGAAAATTAAATAATCTTAATCATCAGATAAGCTGATTTTTGTATATTGTTCAATTACATCTAATGCTTATATTATCAGAATACAGTATATAACTACTTTTGAAAATTCATGAAACATATATAGTTTTGCTCACTATACGATAACTTATGTGATTTAGAAAAATACAATTATACAAAGAATAAACATAATAGATACCTGATCTAATGAAGGTTCCATACCACTACCATGTCGTAGTAATTCTGGTGGCTCTGCATCAAAACTCATGTCACCAAAACCTTGATCATGTGTAACCAAAGATAAACTGCCATAATCTTCCCTCATTGTTATTTCCTCTGCTCTAGATTGATTCAAACTAAATTGAGCTTCAATATCAACATCTCTGAAAAAAAAGGTTTAAAATAATTAGTAAAATATTTTAAAATATTCTGCATCATACACACACACACACACACATTTTTTAGATAAAAGTTTAATAATATTAACTTACTTAAGTTCAGGCATAGCAGTATCAAAATCATGAAATACTTCTGGCAAAGTAATAGCTGTTACAGCCGCCTCTCTATGTTCCTCAGGTAGATCTACCATTCCAGGCCTAAAGGCCATTTTAATTTTTACAAAAGCTTCATTGCAATCGGCCAATAAATATTTGGCTTTTCTTGAGTAGATTCGTACGACTCCCAATAATAAATGACCGGATGTTCTCAAGGCCATTTTAACCTATTATAAATTTTTAGAAAGAATTTTATAATACATTAATATTTGGTAAATCTTGCAATATAGTAAGGTAATACTTACTTTTGGTTGTAATATACCATCCACTGATTTTTCTATATTAGTTTCAAACACATGTGCCTTTGTTATTTTTTTGTCCCAATGAGCAGCCAGCCATATACGAGCCAAAGGCCCTTTTTTGGCCAACACAAAATGTGCGTAAAACATGATTCTTCTTTAATGCTGCGTCAATAAAGATTGGACTAAATTAAGGAGTTGATAAAACCACATTTCTAATTTCAATATAAGAAAAGAAAGATGTTATTTAAAAAAATCACAAATATATATATATATATATATGTACATGTTTAATAAATATTATTCTGCCTAAGTTTAAAGAACAAACACATCAGTGAATTAATAAATATTTCTTATTGGCAATATAATATTTGATATGACATAATAAGGCAAGAAGTTTAATATTAATTTGATGTGTTGCTTATCAATTGGCATATAATTTGATACATAAAATCAACATTAAAAGTCAACAATGGTTGTTGCCTAATTCGTGAAAATATAAACATCAATGCACAAGATGGCGTTTCCGTCTACAGTTTTGGCGGTTACGAGATAACGTCAAATTTCTGATACCAGTTTCGTTTACGATGCGTACAGCGTGTCACCGAAATATCGTCCGATCGTTAGGCCGTGTGAAGCAGCGGCATATTTTGCAACAGGAACAACCGCGACTGCGACAATTTCTCAAAACATCGGCGCATACGGTACGTTTTCGCCTTGATACGTACCTCCAAACTAACCACGATTACGCGCGATCGCACATATACACACATCACATGCACACTGCAACACACCGATTCACCGTTAATCTGACGTTCCGAAATCCATCTTTCTTTCGTTATCCGCGTGTTCGTAAACGTACGATTTTAGAAGGTTACAGATGGTTCGGAGCGTTTGGTCGACCAATCAAGACAAAGAAATCTTTTCTCCTTTTGTCCTGATTGGTCAATTAAATGTTATTTTACCTCACTAGATAGGAATTCCGAACGCGCCCTTATTAATGCGTGGCGTACAATTCCAAAATACGAAGATGGCGTATATGCAAGAAGGCGTATTATTGAAAACATCGAACGACACAAAAAGAGAAAGAGAGAATCCTCTCTCCCTCTCCTCATTCTTATTTTTCTCTCTCACTCTCTTCGCCGAGAATCTCAGCTGTATATTATATGATTTCTAACCTATACACAGGATATTGAGAATGTAATTTTAATTGCACGTTGTGTTCCAAATTTTTGCCTGAACATATCTCGTTAACTATGCCGAATTTTATGATTATAGCTCGTACGTTATAGATAAAATTAACAATAACTTTATGTCATGATTTATAGTAATTTAATGATTTATCATCATTAGTATTCACACTTTATATTATATTGAATAATCTATTTCTTATTTTAGATTAGCCACTTTGACAATGGGAAAAGTTTATTCTTTATTAACACGACCTATTCGCACGTTCAATGTCGAAAATCGTGCGGCAAGAATCATATCTCGAGAGAAGCCTATACCAGCACCTCAATATCCATCCACGGAAAAGCAAAAGAAATTGTCAGACGAAGGTAATATTTAATAGTCAACGCAATGTTGATTTTTATCATATTTTATCATATTATAATTGAAAATTATAATTTAGGAATACACACACTTTTTGATATTCTCTCCTAAGTTTGTTATATAATCCTTTTGTGTTTAGTAAATCCAAATTTCCTGAAAGAACATTATCAAAAGAATGTGCGACTGGATCAACGCTTAAAAGATGTTTTTGTAACATCAACAGATCCACAAGTATGTGCTATATTTTCAATTTGTATTTTCTCGAATTTAAAAAAATCCTAATATGCTAAAATAAATTTAGTAGAGTGCGCAGATATATTTATCTGACATAATTTTTACATCAGATTCAGATATCAAAGTAATTTTTATTTTAATTTTCATAAACAAGTATTTAAATTTTTTATTGATAAATTTCCATTTTTTTTACTATTAAAATTCCTATATTCTTACTGCAGCCATATTGAGTTATAGTCAGAAATGAGAAATCATAAGAGTTTTTAGTCTTGCGAAATATATTGAAATAAATAATTTTTTTAAATGCCATTATATATATATATTTGTGTTCAATAATATATAGATTAGTAAAATACACCAAAAACTCTTTTTGATTTGTAAATTAATGAATAATAAATCTTGATCAATTGTAAGGTCCATTCTTCAGGAAAAAAGGATCTTATTAATTATTTATTTTGATGTATTTTGCAAGAAAAACATAAAACTCGCATGATTTCTCACTTTTAACATCATAATTCAATATAGCTGTAGTGAAGACACAGCTTTAAGAAAGTCATGGAAATAATTTGTTATCAAGTAAAAATATAAAGTTTTGCAATTTATTATTTAGAAAGTAATTGAGCCAACAAGAGAACCAAGGCCTTTACCTCAAAACAGATATACGATAGATGAATATACATTTAATTTTTTTGAACCTGCAACGATCCCTGTAGGAAAGTGCTCATTGAAGCAGGTTTTAACATTTCTTTCGCAATATAAACACGATCCTTTAACATATAGCAGTGAAAACATAGCTGCTGAATATAAAATAGATAAGAAAGTAGTAGGTATGTATTATTTATTTCTAAAAAAGTAACAAAATAAACTTATAATGCTTATATATTAATATAAAATTTATATATATTTGCATCTCTCTCTTTCTTTTTAGATGATATATTGAAACATTTTAAACTTTATGTAACTATGATACCAAAGAGTGAGGAAATATTGGAAGATCCAGCGCAAGAAATGTTCGAAACAGCATTAGAGGAAAAAAACAAAAGGGATCTTCTAGAAAAGAAAAAGTAATATGAATATTATAATAGAAAAATAATTTATTAAAGATTATTTGTATATACGTGATTTTTTTCCTAAATATAATATTATATAATATATATAGTCTATATATCAACAAATAAATTGGAAATGATGTATATTTTATAGTAAAGTTTCACACGCGCGCGCATGTTAAAATATTAAAAAAGTAATGTGCTTTCCAAATTAATTACACATTCTTATGCAATCTGTAATAAAAATTTGTGCATTATTTTAGCATCGATAAAATCATATAAAAGTATAAATTATTTGCTTACTTGCTATGATATGATAAACTGAAACGATCACAACCAAGACATGGAATTGCCTAGTGGTAGACGGCATCGAGTGAGAATAATCAGGAAAAAAGTCCTGCATACCTAAACTTGTTTCTGGAATGGTCATAGTCTTCTCCATCATCCAGTAAAATGCTTTCATTTTTAATGTTTTTTTCAATTCTGCGCCAACTTCTTCCCGTATACGTTTATTGTAATTATTTAGCCAACGTCGCTGTGTGTAACACGTGTTAATATTATAAAGAACATTTACTTTTTATCGTTACTTTTTATATTTCTTGTAATAATGTATAAATTTAATAGTTTTAGATTAATGTACTTAAGACCTACATGCAATGGAGTTAGCATATTGATGTCAATAAGTTTCGGTTCATAAGGAACCAGAGTAATGTCTTTGAATTTGAGGAATTTTTGCCCATTATGACTCTGAAACATAATTAACAATTAGTAACTAATAACCAATTATATTATTAAATATATGAAATATTATATATTGACAAAGTTGCTGCTGTTTTATAGTGTACAGGATATAACACAGGTAAGGATATGTTAAGATCTACCAATTTATTAGCCGGAATCACTTCAAGTATATTTTCTAAACGAATTCCAAAATCGCCTTCTTTGTAGTATCCCGGTTCGTTTGATAGGAAGAATCCTGGTTTCAATTTAAGAGAACATCCTATTACTAAATTTTTGCATTTATATGCTATAAGGATAGGCGCTGCAATGTGTATTGTTTCATTAGGATGGCTTTCATCAATTATATTTAATATTTTTGTGAAGCAACTATTTTACAGAAAACTGTTGATTACGAACATTCGTGAACTGAAGAGAAATGACCAATTCCGTGACCAGTCCCATGCATGTAATTGTAACCGGTACTCCACAATGGTCTCCGTACAATAACGTCCAATTGATCTGTCGTCAGATCGTCAGGGAAGATCAAAGACGATAATTCGATCGAACCGATCAACACTCTTGTATAGGCTTTTTTCTGCTCGTCAGTCGGCATTCCGAAATGTAGAGTCCTTGTCACATCAGTGGTACCATCTGCCAAATAATTTTATTTCATTATGCTTTTTTACATTATGTCTCGCAGTTGTTTGAGCTTATCTCGACCAAACTAGCAAAGCTATCTCCAGCAAAGCAGAGTAAAAAAACTCAGAGTTTTGTACCCAAGTATTGTCCTCCGGAATCAACCACTAGTGTGGACGTGGTTCCGATTTTAACATTAGTCAAGTTAATTGGCTCATAATGCGGTAAAGCGGCGTGCGAACCATATCCCGCAATCGTCGGGAAAGCAATACCCCTGTTGCTATTTTGTTCGTAACGGAATTCATTGGCCACCCTTGCCACTTGCATCTCATCCCATCCTTCGGAATCCAATTCATATTGTTCTTCCATGTAAGCTAAGAAATCGCACATAGCCACTGCATCCCTCAGATGAGATCTTCTCATACCTGCTATTTCGATTTTGTTTTTTTCCGCTCGTAGATCGATTACAGGGGAAGGCTTAGCCAATCTCTTTTCTGGTGGAATCTGCAAAAAAATTCTATGTATTTAGTATGAATTTATGAATTTAAAATTATTTATTCAAAATTTGATCGTGTATTATGCTTATTTCAACATCGAAAATATACGCATGACCGCATTGTTTCCGCAGTTATACTTACAGAATTGTATATTTCTTTGGACGCACCCAACGTATAGACATAAAGTGATGGAAGCCACACTGTATTCCAGGCTTGGGACATGGTCTTTAAATCATACCAAATGGCTGTGTAATTGTGCAATCTGTAACGATAGTCAATCGTTATACCATTCTGCTTTTATTATGTGGCTATTATCAATTTCTAAGAATTGGAACTATCGAACTTTGATTTCATAATATCATTGCAAAGCAAGAAAAAAGTTCTTTTTATTTTCTTAAAAATTAATTTAAAAAACAAAGCTATATCAGTTGACACCGATCTTAATCTGTGTTTTTATCTATTCTTCTGGAGTTTATGTCATTCAGTGATATATGATACTTTGAATTTTATTTCTTCATCTCTCACTCACTTGACGCAGTCCGCATGGAAGCAGGAGTCGCTTTTCAGATGTATGTCGACGGACCGCAGGATTTTATGTCGCGGCGCATAGAGGTGCAGGGATCCATGAGTGACGATCGCGTAGGCTCTTAGAACGGGCGTGTATGGTAAGTCGTAGCCGCGAATGTTGAAGAGCCATGCTATCTCATCCAGAGCGGTGACGATAAGCGCGTCGGCCGACGAGAATTCCATTTCCAGCCGGACACTCCGAATTTTCTCTTGCCATGGTTTACCGGAATACTGGTCCGCCAATGGATACGCTGCATGCGGATTGTATTCAGGTCGGCCCACCTGCCAGATCAAGTCCACCAAGTCGTTATGGACTGCGACCAATCTTATGGATGAATTCGCTGAACACGAATAGAATCGCGTTAGTCGCGTGAAACAAGATCAACACTTTTGGCTTTGTTGTGCGATCATTGATTGATATTAGAGTTTATCTCGAAGCTCGATAAAAAGGGAAAATTTTTATTTTATAAAATTAATGAGATTTTTATATGTAAAATATTATGTTTTTAGAAAAAAAATATATACGTCTTACAATAACATTTAGTAAAATAATGCGCAGCAAGGAGAAATATAATATATAATGTTTAATAAAAAAAGCCTTATGTAATTGTAAAAGATTATTACCTAATTCGCTTTCCCATATTTCCCATATAAACGCAGATATTAGTTTTGGATTAGCACCGATACGTATTTCCGATCGATTTCGAAACTCGTGTATTAACCATTCTGTTATTCCAGGTACCTGAAATTAATGGAAATATTTTTTTAATGTGTTATGGATCTCGATACTGAAATGTTCATAAAATTATTATTAATTACAAATTCTCATTATTCATTACAAGCTGGATGTGTTTGTGTGTATATATGACAAATGTAGCGAATTGTTATAATATTGTCATAAATTTAAGGAATGTTTTGTCTATCTATTATAAATTATTTTCTTTTTTTTATAATACACATACAATACATATGGTACATCATAAAGATGATATAATCATAAATAACATGATTAATGCCAGAAAAGCTTTGCGTTTCAATTTAAACAAACATGCTAGAAAATAATTTTATCTAATAATAAACATATCTTTCTCGGGGCTCTTATTCATTTGGAAACCGATGAAATTACTTATTATTAAGAAAATATGTAATAAGAGCCCGGAGAGAGAGAGAGAGAGAGGAAGAAGAAAAAAAGAGAGAGAGATAGTAGATATTACTATCATTAAAATAAAATAATTGAATATGTCAAATAACAAATCAAAGCTTAATTCAAATTATAACAGTTTAAGGTTTCATAATATAATTAAAAAATGTTAATCAGATTTTAAATATTAATATATGCAATTAATTGTTACTATCTTGATTTTTATATTCTTATTATCTTCGGAGTCTTATTAGAAATCGCTGTTAGAAAATGTTTTTTTAAAGGTGAAGGTAAAAAATAGAAATATAAGTTGTTACTATCTTGATTTTTATAGTCTTATTATCTTCGGAGTCTTATTAGAAATCGCTGTTAGAAAATGTTTTTTTAAAGGTGAAGGTAAAAAATAGAAATATAAGTTTATGATAAGAAAAAATTTGCTGTTATAATAGATAAAAACAATTTAATTGATTAACAAATAAGGAAAATGTGTAATTTTATCAAATAATATACGAATATGTAATAATGGAAATGGTACACGAATATATAATAAACTGATAGTTATTAAGCATATAAAGCAGAAATGAGATAAAGATCTCGTCCTTGTATTATATCACAATAATAAAAATTTGAACTTGAATTAATTTACTCACGTCGGATTCATCTTGCTTCATTAAACTCCAGTTGCAGTCCAGCTGATGGTCAGCTTGAATATGATATCGGCCATCAGTCCAAAGTATTGCCTTGTCTATAGTGACTAAAGCTTCTCCAGAACTTCCATAAAATCCAGTAAGAAACTCTCTTCTCATATCACGCGGATCCACAATTTCGCTCTATATAAAAAGAATTTATAAAAGTTTTATTAATAAAAAAATATATGAATATGGGAAGACTATTAATATTAATTATATAATAATTCGCAAAAAAAGTTTTCCTAATCAATCAGCATTAAAACATATGTCAAAGACAATGTTTCGACTTAAATCAATGTCCTTCAATCGCTTTGTCGTCAATAAAACTCAGAAGATTTCACAGGTATATGCTACTGGTATAAGTACAGGTATATATGTATATTGTACCGCGCTCAAAAGTTTGAAGGATCCTATAATATTTCAAAATAAAAAATTATATTTTACAATTGTTTTTCTTACTAATAATTATTTTATTTAAAAATTATAGGATGTTTTAAACTTTTGACCAATAGTGTATTTTTTGAGTGTTTATAATTTTATCATTTAATAATTAGAAAAACATTTTTTATTTTTTTTATATATTTGTTTTTTTATATCGCGTTAAATTTTCAAATCACTAAAATATTTCTCATTGAAAAACACGGTTTTAAAAGATTAAACACTGCATCCAAAACCATAAAATTTTAGCAAATACAGAATAAGCATATCAGCCAAAGTTATATTTATGCGAAGTATTGTTTTCAATAAGAGAAGCTTTCAAATATTGTACACCACGCGAATACCTCTAAAGGGCCAGCACGGCCGTGAGAAGCAAAGCTCACTGTCTGAAATTTAAATATAATAAAAGAGACATTTAGCATATATAATATATACATTAATTGTCAATGCGTACATATATCATTACTAACGAATCGATTTAATTCAATCTGTGAATATAATGTCTATTATTATTATTGCGTATCGAGTTTGACTTGGTGTAATGCAAGCAGTTTAATTTGTAACAAGATAACGCTATAATCAACATTTAAAAAAATTAACGATTTTAAATAAATTCTGGTAGTCACTATAATTGATTTTTTCTATTATTATAAATGCTTGTAAAAATTATCATGATAATTGTTACCGTATATTCTATACTTATCTACAATTAGTCGAGATTAATCTACTAATATAAATGTGACACGCCAATTCGTAAGATATGTACAAGTAAATCCCTGGGTGGATAAATCATAATTATGAATATCGATTCGATTTAATCACGTTGATGGGATAGAACTCACTTGATGCTCGTCATACGAAGTAACGATGTAACCATCGAGTGCTGGCCCTTGAACTGCCGCTACGCGAATCATCTCAGATCTCAGTTGTCTCAATCGCAAAGAACTGTCATATCGATTAACCGGTTGATTTTCGAGGTAAGCATTCACGGGGCAGTACGATCTTTTGGCGCCATTATAGTTGTATTCTGGCTTTGACAATTTGCTGGTATCGGCTCTCGTTAATTCTGCGTCAGACAAATTTTCTAACTCTTTTGACAAAAAATAGTACAAGAAAAATATGTTATACATACATATCGATTACAAGATACATTGACAGTATATAAAAAATTGATTGATTGAATTCGATTTTTAGTTAATTGTTAACCAAGTCTCAAGAATGATTCTAGTAAACTGGAATTAAGATATAAAACAGAAGATAAATATTACAAAAAACTGAAAATCGAAAGGTGTAAAAAACATAATTTTTTGGCAGAATTTAGAGAATTTAAATATTCATCTTAACTATACAGATAAATAAGGAATAATGAGTTAAGATAATGAAAAAAATGTATGACATAGGCATAAAATGGATGGTATCAATAATATAAAAAATAGTTAGAATATAATGCTTAAATTTTATGCAAAAGACAAGGGTTTGGAGGCGCCGGGTATCGATCCCGGTACCTCTCGCATGCTAAGCGAGCGCTCTACCATCTGAGCTACGCCCCCCAGATGAAAAGAGTTTTCTTAATGAGTGCTGATCTGGTTGATTATATAACTAGAGAGACAAGATAAATAAATAAATAAATAAATAAATATATCATGACAATACAACAACAAATCAGATTTGATTGTTGGAAAAATAATTATTAAAAATTTTGTCCAAATAAATTGTCAAAAATAAATAATTTCAATACATTTCTTCTTCTAGCATTTTTTATAATTTTGTGAGTACTGAATCTATGAAAGATGTATTTTAAATACGTGTATGTATGTATGTACGTGTGCAAATATGTGTGTATAAATATGTGTATGTGATAAAAACTTATATTATATAAAAAGAAAATATAAATTTAATATTTTTTTCTACAAAAATAAAACTGGTGATTGATCCATTGATGATGATCCACTTATGAATAATTTCAATATAATAATATTTAGTATAGTTTTATATTCTCTGACAAAATTATACTAAATAATGTGTGTGTGTGTGTGTGTGTATAATTTAAATATATATTAAATGTAAATGTATCTATGATTCAATACATGTAATGTACATTGCACTGGATACAAGAAATATAGGCAAAATAAGTAGATAATGAATACAAATTAGAACAGAACGATAAACATGTTTTTGCCTTAAATATTTTATCAGGGATTAATGATATAAAAGTTCAAACTTCGAACAGCAAGAAAAGTCGAAAAAATTCAATTAAAATATAATCTGGTAAATTAGAAAATTTCATACAAATGACGCAACAATAGTACATAAGTTCCTAAGATTTCTATAGATGATTCTTTATGCAATGGATAACGAGGGATGCAACGCGACTCGCGCTAATTGATCATGTTGACCGGAACTAGCTTGATTTCCGTTGCATATATAGTATACGTCTCATGGGAATCCAGAGGGTGTGCTAAGTGGTGCTTGCGTACCAGGAAAGCATATCGAACTTGGAGTTTAATCGTCCCGAAACGCATGTTTGATCGTTACATGTATTATATATTGAACCGTCATCTTACACGCAAGTAATATATATGTCAAATTGATCAAACTCGCTCTTTTCTCCTTTCTCACTTTCTTTTTTTCTCGCCAAATCTATTTTTCCGCGATATCGCATCGAGAAAAATGCGGCGCGTATCGTCTATCGTCGCGTTCGCGACAAGAAATCAATTTCGTAAATGAATGGGGGACGGATCGAATATAATTCGGGCGAAATATCATATACACTGTCGCGTATTTTATCATTAATGCGCCATAACTAGGGATCAATTTCGTAAATGAATGTGGGGGACGGATCGAATATAATTCGGGCGAAATATCATATACACTGTCGCGTATTTTATCATTAATGCGCCATAACTAGGTCAGCGTATTGTTTAATTTAATAATTTAACGTAAACATCAAGTAATATTAAATATATTACTAGGGAAGTAGGAGCGTGCAGTAGGAAAGTTTTACTCCAATGTAACCTTACAATTTTCAGCTTGGTAATTTTCTCTGTAATTTTCCCGCATGCTGTAAAGATTACATTGCTTATATATATATATTCATCTCATCATTTAATTCGATATTTACCAATATCTTCTTATCCTCTTAAGTTATTCTAGTTGACAAAGACGTGCCATTCGGAGGAAAGAAATTCCATTGTATTATATGCAATGAAAATGGCACATGGGAAGGACTCGTGTCATCAATAAAATAATTTAATATGTAAGATAAAATGTTTTTCATGATAAATTTATGGCCATATGAAAAGAATGAAAAAAGGATGTCGATTTACAATAAAATATCGAATTGTATTATTTCTTATCAAACGAAAAGAAGCAAATGATGCAACTTAAAATGGTTCTAACACACCATTTATAATATAACTATAAAAATAATAGAAGCTAATTATACTTTTTCATAGATGATGGATTATTTCGAACATTTCACAATATATTTGCATGTCATGTATATAATTACGTAGACTAATTAATAAATAACTGTATCACATTTTATTCTATAATATTCTCATTTTAAGCTGCGTGAAAATAATAACAGCATATAATAACATAGCAATGCTGAGCAATTAACAATAAGTATTTTGTAAATATTTAATGTAATCGTCTCTCCCTCTCTCTCGTATGTAAGTATAATAAACTTATAATAATTCTATATAAAAATAAATAATAAATTGCATACGTGTTTTTAACCGTTATGTTGCATATCAATTTCTCATAAAAAGGAAAGAAAGAATAATAAATATAAGTTTAATATTATATTAAATAAATATAAGCTCAATATTATTTTAATATCATTCTGCATTATATTAATGTCTTAAATAACACAATTATTCTATGATGCAACGGTAAAAATATGAATATTCGACACCTATGGACATAATATATAATATTCGGCTCTCTGCTTTCATGTGACAAAAGTATCTGTAAAAAAAAAAAAACAAATAACACTATTACGTGCAAACAATGATTCTGTAGTATGCGCAACGTTTATCTTTTGCTGCTTCAAATTTAATTTCGAGAATGCTCTTCTCTTGTCTCGCCTTTGCTCGCGACCATTGGTTCGTCACTCGCTTTACTGTCCCAAAGACACCAGGCTACCATGAATCTCTGGTTACTCTCGGACGCAGAGCAGGGTAGCCTCAAGGAACGAAACCCAGAGATATATGTATGTACATACACATATACAGCGAATCGATGCCGCGGAAGCGCATGGGAAGGCAAGTTTTCGCCAGGTATAACGGAGGGTGAACTTGACGAGGCCAAAGCGATTCGCCTTCTTAGTTGGTACCACGTTGCCGCTGTCGATCTACCATTTGTTCACCACTCACTTTCGTGCTTCTATCCGATCCGGCTTGTAGCACGATGAAGAGTTTAAAGGGCGGCCGACGCGAATCCCGCGTCGCAATGGCCGTGACTTATATCTCGAATACGTCGCGTTATTTTCATATTGATTACTTTCTTAAACCAACGCTTGACGCTGTATGTCATCGGGAGGGTGAAATTATTACATTTGCGAGATAGAATTTCTTAATAAAAATTATATAAATAAATGAATAATTTAATAATGATTCTAATAATCTTTGATAATAAGATATGTACTCTGTGAAACTATGATTATATAATTGATGTTGAATTTATCGATTATAGCGATGTATATTTATAAATTATCTAACATTTTATTATATACAGTAATAATAATAATATGCTTAACAATAATAATAAATATTTGCAAACACGCGCATCGAGTTCCTAAGTAAAAATTATTATCAAGAATCGCAATATATCTTCGGGCGTTAATATCTTCGGGATAATTTTGCCTTTTGTTATCTCATATTGATATAGATATCTCATCGTATGAATCGTGCGCCCAATACCTATTAAATGACGTGCAGAAGGAGAGATGATCGAGATGCTGCGAGACCGGACTATTTCTCGAGATGATCTTTAGCATCTATTGAACAGGCTCGCATAATATGTAAGAACACGTCGTGATTTCATCTTGTGCCTGTGGACCAGTTTGTTGCTTGCAACTCGCAGTCAGTCCTCTTGCTTTCATTCAACGCTACTCTCCTAGTAGGCAAAATGTTAGCAGTGCTGTTAGCAGTATGCCGTTAGTTCGACAGCAGAAATTCAATTAAAATATATTGCGATTAGTATCGACTACATCCGCGTTAAGCTTGTATTCTATCGAGTTAAAGTTTCATAGTAAGTTGATGTCAGAAACTTGCTCTGATTATAAATGAAAAAGTATGTCGCTGATGATGCTAGTAACAAATAGATATACAATATATGATTCCCATATAACTTCATGAGAATGTTTGTTTCGATATAAAGTTTATGGACCGAAAAAAAAAATCACGCGGTTCCACAATAAATATTATCTTAACATGTCAACAATAATAATAATATATGATAGCTCATATTCTTATCTATGTTTGGAGATAGATATAATTATCGATTTTATTTAAATAGTAACATTATAAAAAACGTAAAAATTATTTAAAATCAATTTTAAATTAATTTGATTCATCAATTTTAAATTGATTAAATGTATGATGCATATATGAAAAAATATCAGTTACAAGTATAAATAAAAATAGAAAAATAAAATATATAAAAATTGGTAAAAATTTATAACATTTAAGTGTTTTTAACATTTATAAACATTTTATATTTCGTTATATATTGTTTGATCTATGATTTTTAATTAATTAATTTTTCTATTGATTTATTTTTATGTAATTATTCCTGAAATATTGTAATGTAAAATCTTTCTAGGAGAAACTATCTATTTATCTGTCAAAAAAGTATACACAAAGCCGCGCGTTGATACGCTATGAATCTGCGAACTAGTTGTGCGACGTCTCGAGATGATCTTCAGTATCTGCTGATCAGGATCACATGGGTTACAAGTAGTCAGATGATTTATGATATTTGCATCTCTCGTAGTTGTGTTAGTTTGTTCCTTTGTTCGATTATCTACTTTCTCTCTGTTGCCTCAGTAAAATAATTATT